TTAAATGCCTAGTGTTTAACTTGACTACATTATACTACTTCTGATTTCTGAAGTCATTATTAGACATTTTTAGTGAACCCCAGCTAAAGGGGTGCTGTCACCCCTGCCCCAAAGTTTGCCATCCAGTGGATTATACAAATCAAATCAGAGTAAGTTTGACAGAAAGTAGAGTATGATCAAGGCCAATAAACACACTCCAAAGTGCACATTTGAGGTAGGAGAGATGGGATGGAGGCCTTCTTGGAGGAAGTGATGTCTGAGCTGAGCCTTGAAGGAAAAGGAGGATTTCGGTATACAGAGCTTAGAGGCTTTGTGCTCCTTGAGAACATGCCTGTATGAATGCACAGAGAGAGAAAGATGGCGGGCCAAGATGGCGGAACTATTCGGCAGGGTAACAGTGTAAAATCAATCCAGGAAGGTAGGTTGAAGCCATCTGTGGGAAGGGTCTCAGATCCCAAGGCTTTTATCCTATGTCCTTTCCAGTGGAAAGTCAGAAGACCTGAGTTCAAATCTCACCTCTGATGCTCACACTTCCTCGGTGACCTTGGGCAAATTACATAGTCTTCCTGATTCTCAGTTTCTCACTCTGTAAATTGAGGCAATGGGCTAGATTGTTCTGAGGTAACCCTATTATCCTATGCTAGATTCATAGTAGAGAGGCCTGGGATCACATATTAGAGGACATCTAGTCCAACGCTCTCATTTACAAATCAGGAAACTGAGGACTAGGGCGATTACACGCTTTGCCTACGTCCAGCTGTTACTACCTGAGGCAGGATTTGAGCCCACACCTTCCAGACTGCAGCCCAGCACTTTGTCCGCTGCACCACCCTGGGACACAGTTAAGCAGAGGATGGGGAGCGATGTCTCACAAAGATCTGGTATCTGCACAAAGGCAGGTCATGGGAACCTCTTACAGCTGGGCTAAGAGCGTCATCTTTTAACTGTGTGGGGAATGAATGAAAACACCTACATCTACTAAGCTCTTACTTTGTGCCGGTCAGGGTCTGTACTGTCTGCTGGGGATACAAACAGGCAAGACAGTCCCTGCCCTCAAGGAGCTTACATTCTATAGGGGAAGACAGCATTTAAGGGGGGAAGGGGGGTGATGAAAGGGCAACAATTAGTCACCTGGGGGGGAGGGGTTAGGGCAGGCTAAGGGGAAAGCCCTCTAATCAGAGCCCAGTGTCCTGAGGTCTCCTCCATTTTACCCCTTCTGCAGTTTTGATTACTAAGTCATTGCAGCTCTACGTGATGCCATTTGGGGTTCTATTGGTAAAAATGCTGGAGTGGTTTGCCATTTCCTTCTCCAGCTCATCTTATAGATGAGGAAACTGAGGCAAACAGGGGTGAAGTGATTTGCCCAGGGTCACACAGCTAGCAAATGTCAAAGGTAAAATTTGAACTCAGGTCCTCCTGACTCCAAGCCCAGAGCTCTGTGCATTATGGCACCGCCTACCTGCCCATACTAAGCAGTGCACTGTATAAGTTATAATCGATCGTGAACAAGAAACTCAACTCAAGGAACCCTGGAACTCTGCCCATGGCAATGACCCCTAGGGGTTATCTGGTCAACTAGTTGAGTGTTATTGATGTGACCTGTGACCACCATCTGGGAATACTGTCTTCTTTGACTTCATTACCTTTTGATTCATCCCAGTTGAACATTTGATTTAAACATTGGGTTCGGCGCTGAGTCGATCTTCAGCACTCAAGGTCACCAACGGTTCCTTCTCATCCCATCTCTTGATACTAGGCCCCTTAGGTGACATCTGTTTTAGCCTTCAGTAGTATCATGTGTGGGGGTGAGACAGGATGGACGAGAGCTGCCTTCAGCATCATCCCAAGACAGAAATAGGGAGGGGGAGAAAAAGGAGAGCTCAGGACCCCTCTTCCCATGCCAGCTCGCTCAGGAGGCTTCTAAAGAAAAGACTTATTCCTTTGGTTTACTTTGCTCATCTGTCCTGGCACTGGTTGCCGGCCTCCTGCTGAGAAAGCAGATTTCAGGGCCTACTGTGGAGCTGACTTGCATCTGTACTCCAGGGCTTTGTCTGGGTGGGGAAAGGGGGTTCAAGTCAGAGGTTTGCCTTCCCCGGGCAGGCTGGTACATGAACAGAGGCCATCCTTGAGCCAGTTCATTCAGTCATTGCTGACACGGCAGAGTAATCCGGACGTGCTTGTATGTGCCCACGTATGGGTGTTGCCCAGACTTAGACATGAACAGATAAAAGAGTTCAAATGGTTGCTTGAAGGCAGGGGGTTCTTCATCTCTTTTGTGCTATGGACCCCTTCAACAGCCTGGTGAAGTCTGTCTCACAATTATGGTTTTAAATGCATAAAACAAAATAGGTAGGATTACAAAGAAATCAACTATATTGAAATGCAGTTCTCAAAATATTTAAAAAGCAAACTCCCAAATCCCAAGTTAAGAACCCTTGCTCTGAGGGATTTGGATGATGTGCAGAACCTGGGAAATCGCTGCAGCCTTAGGCCTATTTGAACCTGACCTTGAACATGATTGGCACTGCTATTTGACTTACCTTTATTTTGGAGGGGATGAAAAGGAGCTTAATTACTGTGCTTACAACTCCAAGCTAGTCGTATTATGAAATGTGACTTTTAATGCATAGTGCTTAAAGCCTCAGCATTACTGCTAGTGTGGCCAAAAAGGAAAAAAAAAAAAAAGCAAAGAAAAGAAACCAGGGGCAAAAAGACTTCTAATTTGCCTGTTTCTTTCTCCCAGGAGACTATAAGCTCCTCATGGACACGACTATATAGCTCTAACTACTTTGGTGTGTCTCACATGGTATCTAACAACATGTTAGGGACACAGCACCATTGCTATTGTTGTTGTTCAGTCATTTCAGTCGTGTCAGACTCTCCATGACCCCATTTGGGGTTTTCTTGGCAGAGATACTGGAGTGGCTTGCCATTTCCTTCTCTAGCTCATTTTACAGCTGAGGAAACTGAGGGCAACAGGGTTAAGTGACTTGCCCAGGGTCTCATAGCTAGTAAGTGTCTAAGGCCAGATTTGAATTCAGTCCTCTTGACTCCAGGCCTGGCACTCTATCCACTATGCCACCTAGCTGCCGTATTCCTATGGTAGAGTAGAAATAATAATAATAATAATAATAATAATAGTAGCTGACACTTATATGGAATCTTGGCCCTGGAGCTAGAAGGGACCGTCATTTTACAGTTGAGGAAAGTGAGGCCCAGGAATGCAAAGCAGTTTTCTCAGAATCATAAAGTAGTCTGTGTCAGGTAACTAGCAGTTGTCATGGGTCTGCTACGTGCCAAGCACGGTGCTAAGTGCTGAAGTTACAAAAAAAGGAGAAAAGAAAAGTCCCTGCTGTCAGGGAGCTCATGGGCTGCTGGGAGGAAACATCAGACAACCAACTACATGCAAACCAGATATGCACAGAATAAAATTTTAAAATAATAATAATAATAACTAACTTTTATATCACACTTACAATGTGTCAGGTATCGTGCTAAATGTTTTGCAATTATTATCTCATTTAATCCTCACAACAACCCTGGGAAATAGGTGCTGTTATTTTCCCCACTTTACAGATGAGAAAACCAAGGCAAACAGACGTGCAGTGACTTGTCCAGGGTCACATAGCTAGTAGGTGTCTGAGGCTGAATTTGAACTCAGGTCTGACTCCAGGCCCAGCACTCTATCCACTGTGCCACCTAGCTACCTCAGATTGGGGAGTGAGCCCCTCAGAGGGAAGGCATTATTAAGGAGGACTGAGGAAGGCTTCTTACAGAAGGTGGGACTTAGGCTGAGAAGCCCGGGGTGCCAGGAGTCAGAAGTGAGGAAGGAGGATGTTCCAGGCACGGAGCCGCTGGAATGGGGGTGCCATGGTCAGATCTGTGTTTTAGGAGGATCGGTTTAACAGCTGAGGGTCAGAGAGGATTTGAACCCAAGCTCTTATCGCAAAAAGATGAGTCCTATCTCTAGAGTTGGGCAGCTAGGGGGCGCCATGGTGCACAAAGCTCCAGGCCTGGAGTCAGGAAGACTCCTCTTCCCAAGTTCAAATCTGGCCTTGGACACTTACTAGCTGGGTGACCCTGGGCAAGTCACTTCACTGTGTCTGCCTTAGTTTCCTCATCTGTAAAATAAGCTGGAGAAGGAAATGGCAAGCCACTCTGGTATTTTTGGCAAGAAAACCCCAAATGGGGTCACAGAGAGTTGGGCACGAGGGAAACAACTGAACAACAAAAAGCTCTAGAATCCAAGGACCTGCGTTCAAATCCTACCTCTGACAATACCTTTGTGACCGTGAGCAAATCTCTGAACCTTACCTCTTGGTATCTTGTTTGTGGAGGGTTGTTCCCATGTTGTCTTTTCCTGTGACTGAGCTCCTTGGGCCGAGGACAGTTTTTGCCTTTCTTCACGTCTCCCGTGCTTGGTTCAGTACCTGGCATATAGTCAGTTCTTTTTTTTTTTTTTTTTTTTGCTAGGCAATGGGGTTAAGTGACTTGCCCAGGGTCACACAGCTAGTAAATATTTTGTGTCTGAGGCCGGATTTGAACTCAGGTCCTCCTGAATCCAGGGCCGGTGCTCTATCCACTGTGTCACCTAGCTGCCCCTATATGGTCAGTTCTTAATAAATGCTTTTTGTTGACTTGATTGAACCATCCTGGGCCTTAGTTTCCTCAGCTGTAAAGAGAGAATTGGAGTGGATTAGGGGTTCTGAACCTGGGGCCCATGAACTTTAAAAATATGTATTTTGATAAAAACTACTTCGGTGTAATTGGTTTCCTTTGGGATCCTCTGGATTTTCGTTTCTGCATCCAACAACACGCATGGGAGAAGGGTCTGCAGGCTTCCCCAGGAGCTGGGATTAGACATCTCAGACACCTTCCTGTTTGGACCTCGTGAATTAACACTGGAAAGGGATCAAGCTTCAGCTTTTGGGGCTGTGGTTAAGGTTGTACTGTGAAAGCATTAATTGGTCTAAAAATTAACTGTAGTTTCTCTTTTTCAGGCTGAAGCCCGGCTTGCAGCCAAGAGAGCCGCCCGAGCTGAGGCTCGAGAGATCCGCATGAAGGAGCTGGAGAGACAGCAGAAAGAGGTAAAGAGCTTCTTTCTCTAAGCCCCCGACCCGGGTTTGCCCTGGGGGGGGGGCACATTTCTCAGTGCCACCTTTTCCTGGTTGGCCTGTCCTTCTAGCCATGCCTGGGTTTGGACTGAATTTGTTCCGTCTGAATTCCTGTGAAATGAACCCCAGGCATGCATGGAATCAGTCATGCCAACAGGACTTTGCCGGAGCTCTCGGGTAATGGCTTAACCCCCGAAACCCCAGGTCATCCCTAAACGCACAGCCCCAAGCTGAACGCAGTTGTCGGGCCCTGCTCCCGTTCTGGTCCCCACAGAGGGGCAGCCCATAGTCAATACCGCCAACCCCAAGTCCTGTGGGCGACCTCGAGGCCATTCCTGATAGAAACGTTCCGTAAGAATAACGCCAGATAAACATGCAGCTGCTGGCTCTCTCAGTGAAAGAATCATCTTGGGGACTCTAGGGAAACTGAGTTTGGGCCTGCAAAAGGATGGGTGAGGCTTTGGAATATGGCTTTTGCTTCTACTAGTTTGGGGCTTCCATTCTTGCTAAGGATCAGTCATTTCAACCAGTAAGCCTTTATCGAGTGCTGTGTGAATATTTATATGTATATGTACCTACATATATATACATTCACATGTATGTTTGCCTATGTATTACATGATGTCTTATAAACCTTAGTGCCATTTTAAGCTTCTAGAGCTTACACTTTGATGTACATACATACCTATACATTCCTATCTGTATGTATGTGTATATACGTATATTTATAATTGTGGGTATATATGTTTATATGTATATATACATATATATTTATAAATGTGTGTGTATATGTATTTATATGTGTGTATATCTCTCCCTCCCTCTGTCTCTCCCTCTCCCTCTCTCTCCCTTCTCCTCTTTCTCCCTCTCCCTCTTTCTCCCTCTCCCTCCCCCTACTCCTCACATCCACACATTCAGGATTTTTCCAGCTGAGATTGGAATCAAACTAAGTGAGGGGTGGCAAAGGGTGTGACAGCACACCCACTGCCTTGCTCTTGAAGGTCTGAGTCTGTGATGTCACTGATGTAGGGAACTCCCAGAAGAGGGAATCCCCTCTACCAATGCATGTCTCCGCCTTCTCTGCCTCTGGGCAAGTTCCCTGGAGCACCCCTCGGGGGGAAGGGGCTTGCTGGGGTCTTCCAGCCCGTGTGTGTCAGACATGGGCTTTAAACCCAGTTGTTGTTGACTCCGAGGCCAGCTCTGCCCCTTGGGCCACACTGCCTCTTGTACTCCTACTATGAGTAGGGTGAGGGACCTAGGACCGGACCTGGGATTTCACTGGTAGAAGAAACTCTTGGGTGAGGATAGTTCTGCAACTATGCGGGTCTGCACCTTCTGTGCCATTTGTAGCATTGCCTGGAGCACTGAGGTTAAGTGACTTACCTTGGGTCACACGGCCACCTTGTGTCGGGGGAGGCTTGAACCAGGTTTCCCCGGGTTCGAGGCCAGCTCTCTGGGAGACGTGTGTAACAGCACTGCTTGACCTGTAGCTACTCTTCTCCCTTCAAAAATTACCACTGTTTAGGGAGACCTGAACGGGCTTGGCTCCCAAAGGTCATTTTTCAAGGAAGGTGTTTCAAACTCAGAATGCATTTTCCCACTGGATCAGGGTCAGGGTCAGGGGTTGTTAGGTTCTAAAAACCAGGCCATAAAAATACTATTATATATTCTGGCTGAGGTGAACTGGCCTGCCTAGAACCCACAGCAAATTCTGAGATTGTTGCAAATGGACCAAGGGTCCTCTGATGCCTCCGTGCAGCAGGCTGGGTTTCGCTGGGTTCTATCAATGGAGACACGCTCCTGCAGGTTCTACCAAGCTGGAGAACCTCTGGGCACAGGCATAGTAACTGAGTTTGCCTGCTGTCTGAGGGCCAGCCTCACTAAGTACATCACCAGTAGGCTGGCTTGGAGGGGACGCATTCTTTGGCCAACACGATCCTTAAAACCTACCCTCAGGATACAAACTGGCTCTCAGACCCATCTGGCTGCCTTCTGCTAACACAATAAAAGTGGAAATAAAGAGTGCCCAGCCACCCTCATTGACTGAGGCCCAGGTGAAATTCATCTGGATGTTCTGAAAGAACTAGCAGGTGCTAATGGCAGTGAGCTTTCCATATTCATGGAGAATGGAAGAGATGCTTGAGGACCAGAGAAAGCAAATGTTGACTTTGTCTTAGCAAAAGGAAGATGAGAGTCTTTTACACTGTAGGCTGGTAGTTTGTCTTTGCTTCCTGGGAACAGTTTGTCAGTAAAAACCAATATGGTTTCATCAAGAGCAGGTCATGACCTGATGAGCCTCATTTTTTTTTAAAGGGGGTTGGTTACTAGACTGGTAGATGAGAGCAATGCTGTAGAAATAACATCCTTGGATTTCTTTGAGGTATTTGATGGTTTCCCATATTATCCTTTGTAAGATGTGGGCTAGATGTTGGTATAGATGGATGAAACCCTGATTGCTTGAATGGCCCAACCGAAGAGTTGTCACTGATGAGTCACTGCCAACTCAGAGATCTCTGGTGAAATACTCCAGCTGTTCTAGGCCCATAGCCTTTAAGTGAAGAAGCCCCTTAGAGGTGGCTACCTAATCTGACCACTTCATCCTCCAATGAAGAGCTGAGTCCAAAAGATGAAGTGACTTGCTTACAGTTACATAGGTTGTGAGAGGCAGTCCCAGCGTTCCAGCCACGGTCCTCTGGCTCCAGATCAACATTCTTTCCACTGCCGATCTCTCCTGGGCCTATGTGGTCCGACATTTTGATCAGTGACTTGGATGGGGAGAGAAGAGAGCTTTTCAACTTTGTAGACGATATGAAGCTGGCAGGCATAGCTCAGCCTCGATGAGAGCTGAGACCTCAGGAGCTCCATATCAGACATGGTGGCCAAAAAAATCACACATAACCAAGGAGAAGGGAATGAGAAGGAAGAGAACAGGGAATCCGAGAATCCTGGCGAGTGTCCTAGGGACATGGAGCTAGAACCATCCAGGCCAAGCCCTCATTTTACAAGAATAGCAAAGTGCTCTCTCTCTCTCTTTCTCTTTCTCTCGCTTTCTCTCTCTTTATATATGTATGTATATATATAATATATTTCTATATTTATAGAGAGAGGAAGAGAGAGAATGCATTCTCATTATTTATAAACACATTTTATAGTACTTGAAGATATGCAGAGTGCTTTGCATATATTATCTTTTTTGATCCTCACAACAGCCCTGGGAGGTAGGTGCTATTATGAGCCCCATTTATAGATGAGAAAACTGAGGCAGACATGAAGTGACTTGCCCAGGGTCACACATCTATTACGTGTCTAAGCTAAGATTTGAATTCAGGTCCAGCACTCTCCCCACTGTGCCATCCAGCTGCCTCACTGGTAATTCAGGATCAGAGAGAATGTGAAGCCTTAAGAGGAGAAAATTGATGATAATTTATAGATTGAAATTAGTTAATTTCAGTGTAAACAGTTACTATGCAGATTTAGTTGGAGGAATTCTTGGTCAGTGTTATTAATAAAACCTTTAACCAACATATATATTTTTTTAATTTTCTTTCTTTCTTTTTTTTTTTTGGCTAGGCAATGGGGTTAAGTGACTTGCCCAGGGTCACACAGCTAGTAAGTGTTATGTGTCTAAGGCCGGATTGGAACTCAGGTCCTCCTGAATCCAGGGCCGCTGCTCTATCCATTGCACCACTTAGCTGCCCCCCAAAATATATTTTTAAAAGAATACAAAGTCCTGCCAGGTTTATTGTTTGCTGATTTTTAAAAATGGATTTGGAAGAGGAAAATTCTTGGAGAGGTGAGAGACTAGATGTTGGGAGTCCCATTAAGAGTCTGTTATAATATTGTTCAGGTCGGAGGTGATGAGGGCTCAAAGCCAGCATGAACCTTCTTGACTGCCCTTTCTACTTAGAGGGCTTGTGGTTCCCTTGAACACTCAGATCTTTTTCACATGGACCACTGTCTAACCAGAATTTTCTCATCTTGTACTTGGGAAGTTTATCTCTTTGAACTCAAGGGCAAAACTTTACATTTATCCTTAATGAATCTCATCTTATTAGATTCAGTCAGCATTGCAGCCCGTAAAGTGTGTGTTGACCATCCTGCCCACCTATGTGTTGTCTTCAAATTTGATATACATGCTGTCTCTGCTTGTATCTGAGCCATTGATAAAGATGGAAACAAGGGGCAGCTAGGTGGCGCAGTGGATAGAGCTCTGGCCCTGAAGTCAGGAGGACCTGAGTTCAAATCCAGCCCTAGACCAAATACTTGACACTTGCTAGCTGTGTGACTCTGGGCAAGTCACTTAACCCCAATTGCCTTAAAAAAAAAAAAAAAAAAGGATTGGGAAACAGCATAGATCCCTGTGGCACCTTCCACGTTGACATTGAACCATTTTCCAACCTAATTGCACTCTGGTCTGTCCCCCACCCCTCCATCATAAATAGTACAGGAAAGTTTGTCAGATGCTTTTGCTAAAATCTAAGTAGATGCTACGTATACAATTCCTGTCTCAGAAAGGAAATGATCTTATTCCGACATGACCAGTTAAGCCTTGCTAGCTCTGTGGTCGCTGCTTCCCTTTCTATACGCACCCCTTGCCAACACTCTCTTTAATGATAAAGTCTAACACCTGCCAGGAATCAGTCAACCTCACTGACCTCTGGTTGCAGAACCTATGCAGAGTCTCCCCTTTGTTGAAAACCAGGACATTTGCCTTTCTCTGGTCCTGTGGTGCAGCTCCCACTTGCCATAGCCCTTCAGTGACTCCGCAGTCCCCTCTGTGGGTTATCTCAGCTCCTCTCGAGTCCCTGGGGGCCTTGAGCTCCTCTCTTCCTCATCTTGAGCACCCGTTCCCTATTGGCCGTGTTGCTTCTGACCTCTCCAGTCCAGAGCTCAGTCTCCTTGATGGGCAATAAAGGCCAATAATGAATTGGACAGTGCCGTCTTCTCTTGGATCTCACTGTCCCCGCGCCGCT